CTACACATCCCAAGACTGAGTTTTAAATCCCAGAGGCCAAAGGGGGCTATGTTTAAAATAAGCACGGACATCTATTAAGACTATTGGCTCTCCACTAACGCTCTATGAGGTTTGTAACGTTCACAGGTGTGGGGGGGTCTTCTTAGTGCTGCTGTAACTAAATGACACAAGTGAGCGACATGGGACGCCCCAAACCAAACGCAACTCACTGATATCCCCTTGAATCAGACTCATAGTAACCCTACAGGACTGGGTAGAATTGCCCCTAGGGGCCCCCAAGACTGTATTCTTTATGGGAGTAGAAAATCTTGTCTTTTTCCATGGAGCAGCTGGTGGTTTCAAACTGCCCAACTTGTGGTTAGCAACCTGACTCATAACCCACTACGCCACCAGGGATCCCTTAATAGGAGGCCAGAAGCCTGAAATCAGGGTGCCGGCTCTCGAGGAAGGCTTAATGCCACTGTTGCCTCCGTGGGAAAAGCATTGTCTTGCCTGCTCTGGCTGCCCAGCTTTGGAGTTTCTGAGCTTGTGGACTAGTCTGCCTCCTTCGCCTTCAGAGTGTAGGTCTTCTCACTGTCTGCCTTCTTCTGCGCCTGATCTGCTTCTTTTACATCTCCGAAGGGATCTTTTCAGACACACTGTACACTGGGATGGCTTCATCAACAAAGCAAAGGAAATCTTGTTCCCAAATGGGCTTGCTTGTGGTCCTAGGCACTCCAGGCCGCAGGGAGAGGGCTCAGGATTTCCAACCCACATTTTGCGGGGACACATTTGAATAGCTTACCGGTGTGCATGTGGGAGAAAATGGTGCTCAGAGGAGCTGGTCTGGAGCGGGCCTTTGAGCAGCAAGGCCTGCGGGCTGGGAGTCAGCAGGGAGCACAGGTCAAGCCCTGGAGCTGGAGTGCAGAGCGGGCAGGCAGCGGGGACAGCCGACCGGGTCACGGAGGGCACCCTGACAAAGCACTGACTTCTGGGCCTCATCTGATCGAAACAGGGATACAAGGAGGTAGAAGAAACCCTAAGCACCGTCTGCTCCAGTCATATGCTCCGTAAGACCTCAGCCCATGGCGAGGGTGGCCTGTGAGCATGGGGCTGTTGGTCAGAGTGGAACTGCCAAGACTCTCAGGCCAAATTTGGAGCAGTGGTCCAACAGGGAGTCTGGCATGAGCGGAAGTGAAGGTCTCCTCGACTGGTGTGAGATCTGTAGCCTTAGTGGGAGCCCTGCTGGTGCAGTGGGTTTTGTGGGGCTGACAGTTTGAAACCACCGGCCGCTTTCTGGGAGAAAGAGGAGGTTTTCTACTCCTGCAAAGATTCAGTCTCGGAAACCCACAGAGGCAGTTCTCCTCTGCCCTGCAGGCTCTCTACGAGTCAGCATCGATTGCACTGGAGTGGGTTTTATCCGCAGTGAGAACAAAGGCTCAACCATTTTCTCTTCTCTGATCACTGCTCCCTCGTTCCTCAGCCCCACAGGCACCCAGAGCGGAACATGGACTCTTTAAAGAGCTCAACCTACGAAGGACTGGTTTGAAAATTTGGTCACTCTCTCAAATCTGAAACATACTCGTCTGGCCCTTTGCCTGGCCTCAGCTATGGGTCCACTATGTCCCATCACACACACTGATGAGGACAGAGACCCCATAACTCCTCAGATCCTTTTGCACCAGGGCATGGCCGAGGGAGTTAAAACTTCCACTGTTGTGAATTGAATTGTGTCCGCTCAAATTTTATGGTGAAGTTCTAATGCCTGGTATCTGTAAATATGACCTTGTTTAGAAATAGGGTCTTTGGAAAGGTTCTAAGTTAATAGGAGGTCATCCTGGACTAGGCTGGGCCCTAACCCGATGAATAATCATTGCGTTATAATGTGCCTCTTAGGAAAGACATAGAGACAAAGGGAAGAAGGTCATGTATGACGGCGCTATTGCAGTTGCCAGCCTATCCCTGGGCGACCAGAAGCTGAGACACAAGGCTCTTCCTTTGGAGCTTCCTGCAAAGGCATTCGACTGTGTGGCTCATAACCAACTAAGGGTATCCTTGAGAAGAATGGCAATTCCAGAACATGTACATGGATCACGAGGCAGTTAGACAGAAAGAACAAGGGAGTAGCGCATGATTTAAACATCAGGAAAGGTGTGTGTCGGGCTTGTATCCTCTCACGTACTTATTCTCTACGCTGAAAGAACCATCAGAGAAGCTGGATTACATGAAGGACACAGCATGAAGCCTGGAGGAAGACTAAACAACAACCTGTGATAAGCAGACGACAAACCTTGCTTTGTCAAAGGAAGGGCACCTTGAAGCCCTTGCTGATGTAGAACAAGGACTGCCGCCTTCGGTATGGATTACTTGTCAATGTAAAGATATCTTCATGATGAACAGAGAAAAGGCTGAAGTCGTCAAGGATGTTGTCTGGCTTGGATCCAGTCAATGCTCATGGAAGCAGCAGTCAAGAGATGGAACGATGCCTGGCATTGGGTAATTCTGCAGCAGAGTATTTCTTTGGCATGTTGAAAAGCAAGGATGTCCCTTTGAGGACTAGGGCGTACCCAACCCAAGCCAGGGTATTTTAGTGACCTCATACGTATGTGAAAGTTAAGACATTGACTAAGGAAGACCTAGGAAGAATCAATGCATTTGAATCACAGGGCTGGCAAAGAATATTGAAAGCACCATGGACTGCCAGAAGATCAGGCAGCTCTCTCTTGGAAGAAGTCCAGCCAGAATGGGCTTGGAGGGTAAGGCTTTGTCCCGTGTCCTTGGTCATCCAGCTGCGATCTGACTGACAGGCTAAACCCCACCTCTCAGTAGTCTCAAGTTGACACCAGATTATGAAACGGGCACAAGGGCAGATTGTCCTCAACAGTTTTTTTCCCCTTTGGTGGAGGGGAGGAGGATGGTATACGTGATGGACGAGGGTTAGTATGTGTAGAGAACTAGGCCAACAAGAGGAATGTTGGGGGCAACGCGAAGGTCATCAGGGTTCATATTGGTGAGCAGATATACTGATTGGCATGAAGATCTTACTAAGCATCCAGGGTTATTTGGAATTGTCTCGATGGCTGTGGGTTAGATGTCTAGTGGGGACAATAATGGCTCAGCAGAATTAAAAAACAATTTTTTTATTATGAATTGGGTGGTTTACAGAGCAAATCAGTTTTCTATTCAAAAACGCATTTTATCTTATTGATTGCAATTAAAACCATGCAACATCACTTCTCTGCTGCCTATTTTCTTTTTCCATCTGAAAGTTAGATGATTTGATGCCACCTGGACCTTCCTGGTGCCCTGGTGACATGGTGGTTATGCAATGGGCTGCAATCTTCAAGGACAGCAGTTTAAAACCACCAGCCACTCTACGGGAAAAAGACTGAACTTTCTACTCCCATAAAGAGTTATAGTCTCAAAAAAAGAAAAAAAAAAAAAGAGTTATAGTCTCAGAAACTCACAGGGGCAATTCTAGACTCGCTGAGTCAGCATGGACTGGATGGCAGTGAGTTTGGTTTGGAGACACGCCTGGCTAGGGGTGGAATCAAACCTGTCAACCAGGTCACAGCTTGATTGCTGACTCCTTGGGGTGTGTGGCTTACTTATCAGGAATACTCTGGGAACAACCTGCTCGCTGGCTGCCCTGAGAACTGCTGGAGCCCTGCCTTATTTCCACCCGCCTTAGTTCCACACACTGGTCTGTGATCTTCCCATATTCATTGCCATGTGGCTGTGTAAGTCTGAAGAGGGATTTAAGGACTAGAGTTGGGCTGGGCTGTTTTCTTGGCATGTAATTACTGGTATACCTCTTACCTATACATCTGAGCGTCACTGAATTTGTTTCTCTAGGCAACCCAGCCTAACATCCCTCCTTTCCTAACCCTTCTGAACGTTTTTTCTTGAGTTAATGTCCTTTTGATTTCAAAAGTTTGATTCTAAATTCCCTAATATTATTGTTCACCACACAGGCTCTTTTGTTTGACTGAAAACTGAGCCATTGGCGACTAAGGACCATGGTCTCAGGGGTTCTATCAGTCTCTGTCTGAATAAGCCTAGTCTTCTTAGGAGTTTGAGTTACTCTTTCCCACAGTTCTCTCTCACTTTAGGCAGGAACTTCTCAGGTGATCCCTTCCAGAGGGGTTAGTAGTAGTGTTATCTCAGCATTGCAGACACTGATGCTGGCTTGATCCATTCATCCAATGGACTTATTTGATCACTCTTCTTTCTTCCAAATGGGAAAGAGTAATAGCTGAACCTTAAAAAAAAAATCACATCGATGCCGACTCATAGCAACCCTACAGGACAAAGGATAGAACTTTCCCTGTGAGTTTCTGAGGCTGTTTATGGGAGTAGAAAGCCCCATCCTTCTTCCTCAGCTAGTGGTTTTGTTCTGCTGACCTTGAGGGTAACAGCACAAAGCATAGCCACTATGGCCCCGGGAAACGAGTGGAACGGCTGTTTGGAGATCCTAGTCAGGACGCACCAGAGAGGATGTAGAACACGGTCCTATGGACCCTGCTGTCCTGAGCACACGCCCTGAGCCCTCAGGCCCAGTGACTCCTCCTCCCAAGGCGCCCACCACTTGCCCTGTGAGCTTTGTCATGTATCCCTGGATGGATCTGCAGCACGGGGAAACAGTCTCGCCCTGCCATCCTCCTCGTGAGGAGCACACGGATCAGGGTAGGAGTCAACTCGCAGCCCGGCTGGAGCTGCGCCCTCCCTGCCTAGGGCACAGGCAGCCTCCCCTCCCACAGGGAGGGCCGCAGTGCTTGGAGGAGGAGAAAAGTGGTGAGGGTGAGGGTGAAGGTACAGAGGTCTGTGCCACCGAGCATCCCATGTCCCCATGGCAGTTGCTGCCATGTAACCCCGACTCCCCCTCTCACAACTGTGTTTGTGTGTGGATTACTTTGGTTTCTTCCAAAGACCACAGCCACCGTTTTGCAAAGGCACTTCATTTTAGGAAACAAAACACTGCTTCCTTTGAAAGCATTAACAAAAGAAAAAGTCACCAGATGTTAAGTTTAAATGGTTAGGAGTTTATTCTGACGCGTCATTCAATAATTAAGTCTTCTTTCTTCTCAACTGGCGTCTCCCAGAGCTGACATTTAAACTGCAAAATCTAGAGAGAAGACCACAGGGCTAAGTGAGAAATGTCGGCTCTAATAGCGGCTAATCTTCCCTCGGCTCAACAGTGACCCACTGAGACTCAGAAAGGAAACACGGAAGGGTTCATGAGGATGTATTTTTAATTTCATTCCACCTGAACATCTCTTCTATTTAAAACAGTGCTGCAGCTTCGAGAAGCTGCCAGCCGAGGTGGGAACAACAACGCCACCCCCCCGTGGGCCCGCTCTTCCTTCCCCCGCCCAACTCTGGCCACATCTGGGAGGAGAGCGAAGCCTACGTACTGGGCTTACACCTACCATTCCTTGCTCTCCTCGGACACAGAAGGAAGGCTGTCCAAAATATAAGCCACATGTTGTCCATCTAACATCTCAATTAAATTGCCTTCCCACACCTTTTTGTGAAGCCCTGGAGCATGGGGAGATAAGCAATGGGCTTCTGATTTCGAAGAGCGTAGTTCAAACCCACCCACTACTCCACAGGAGAAAGATGAGGCAGTCCGCTCCCGCAAAGACCAGGTCTCAGAAACCCTCGGGAACAGTTGTGTTCTGTCCTGCGGGTGCCCAGGAGTTACAATGGGCTCAATGGCAGCTGTTGGTTTTCCTTTAACCCTTTTCAATCCCTCTTTGCCCCACCATAGTGACAAAAGGGTGTCAGTCGCTAAAACACCTCTAAAGAGAAAAACAAAATCAGCGGCAAGACTACGACCAGTCATGTCTTTGACCCGGTAAGTGCACCCACCTCCTGAGGACCAGGGAGTGGTGGGGGCCTGACGGAGGGCATCGTTTCTCTGTGAGAAGGACCAGTAGGTGGTTGACAGTTGACAGAGGGCATCATGTCCCTATAGGGCAGCTGTTCTCAACCTGTGGGTCACAACCCCTTTGGGGGTCGAAGGACCCTTTCACAAGGGTGGCCTGAGTCATAACAGTTGCAACATTATAGTGATGAAATAGCAACGACAAGAACTTTCTGCTCCCCCCAGAACGCACTGCAGAGGACAGCACTGGGGCCAGAGCGTGGGGAGAGGGGAGCGTCGGACTAGAGCCCACTGGAGAAACGCAAAGGGATGGAGAGGGAGGAGAGAACATCCTGGCCCACCAAGCCCCTAGGACGATGTTCCTGCTCAGAGCAGACAATGCATGGGGAGGACCGTAGGGCCAGCCTCACCACGGGACACGGCGTCCCTCACTGAACCATGGTGCTGCGGGGGTCAGCACTGGAGACACAGTGCGGGAACAAGGCATGGTCTGGCCCCATCACACTGGGGTGCAGCACTGAGGGCATGCAGCGGAACAGCCGGGGGGACCAGAGTGATGAAACCCCCGGGGAATACCAAAATTAGACTTAGGAGACAGAGTGTGGCACCCCATCAGACTCAACTGGAAAACACTTGTAAAGGCCAACAAACAGACCTTGAACTATTTATAGGACTTTCCATTGTTGTCAGTGGCTTTCCTTTTGTTAGTGTTATTTTGTTTGGGATTTTGGTTGTTGTTATTGTTTAGTTGGTTTTGACGTCCTTTGTTGTTTTATTTAGTTTTGCCTGTATGTTGCACTTATTAATGAATCTGCATGTCTATCTAGATAAGATAGGTGGGATAAATAATTCGGAGATGAAAAGAACGGGACCAATGGTTCTGGGGATATGGGAGAAGGGGAGGTGGGAGCAAGGAAAGGTGGGGAGGGCAGAAGGGGACCAACCCAGGGAAAAGGTAACTATACTCAATGGAAGGAAGGTTGTAGGATGCCTAGCAGAGCTTAATCAAGAGCAATGTAGCTACGAGGAATTACTAAACCCAAATGAAGGCTGAAAATGATGGTGGGACAAGAGGAAAGTAAAAGGAAATAGAGGAAAACCTAGGAGACAAAGGGCATTTACAGAGGCCTAAATACAAACATGTATATATGTAAATACATATATAACGAGAAGGGAATAGAACCACGTACTCATATCTATATGTTAAGAATTAAGGTTCCAGACGGACACTGGGCCTCGACTCAAGCACTCCATCAACACAAGAACACTTTGTTCAAAAGAAAAAAAAAAGAACACTTTGTTCTAACAATCCGGCGGTCTGTGTTGCTCACCTTCCCGACACGATCGCTAAAAACAAAATGGGTGCAAAAGCAAATGTGGTGAAGAAAGTTGGTGCCCAGCTATCCAAAGATATAGCGCCTGGGGCCTTAAAGGCTTGAAGATAAACAAGCGGCCATCTAGCTGAGAAGCAACAAAGTCCACTTGGAAGAAGCACACCAGCCTGTGTGATCATGAGGTGTCGATGGGAACAGGTATCAGGCATCTAAGACCCAGAACAAAACCATACTCAAGGTGAATTTGGTGGGGAGGGGGGGACCGTGGGCATGGAGTGAAGCCCCAATGTCCATCTGTAGACAATTGGACATCCCCTTAAGAGGGGTCACAGGGAAGAGATATAGCACCGATGAAACACCCAACTTTCCTCTAGTTCTTTGATGCTTCCTTCCCCCCACTATCATGACCTCAATTCTACCTTACAAATCGGATTAGACCAGAACATGCACACTGTTATGGATAAGAGCCCACAACACGGAATCCAGGATAGATAAACCCCTCAGGGCCAACAAGGAGAGTACAGATACCAGGAGGATTAGGGGAAGGTGAGGGAAGAAAGGGGGAATCGATCACAAGGACCAACCTAGAACCCCCTTCCAGAGGGACGAATAATGGAAAAGTGGGTGAGGGACAAGGGAGGATGATGCAAGATATGGAAATAATAATCTATAACTTATCAAGGGTTCATGAGGGAGGGTGGACGGAGGAGGGAGGGGGAAGAAATGGAGCGCTGATATCAGGGGGTCAAGTGGGAAGAGAACGCTTTGAAAATGATGATGGCGGCTTATGTGCAAATGTGCTTGACACATCGGATGAATGTATGGATTGTGATAAGAGATGTAAGAGCCCCCAATAAAAGTATTCTAAAAAAAAAGAAAAGAATATTATGGTTGGGGGTCACCATCACATGAGGAAGTGTAGTAAAGGGTCGTGGCATTCAGAAGGTTGAGAACCACTGCTGTAGGGGGTGTGGCAGAGAGCTGGAGGACCTTGTATACACGCAGGCCCCACAGCGGGAGGGTTAGGTGGGCAGCGGTTGAAGGTGTCTGACCGGGGCTCACTTTCCTGTTCTGTTTTCCAGTATGGACCGTGTGAGCCATGGTTTCTATCTGTGCCTTGCAGAGCTGTTGCAAGGAGTAAAGAACACATCTGTCTACAACATGCTTAGCACATACGAGTCATTCAGTTACGTGCTGATACTTTTACTAACAAGTATGCCTTGAGCCTGAGAGGTCTCTATTAGCAGTATAATAAATAACCTGTTGCTATCAAGTGGATCCAACTCATAGCCACCCTACCAGTTAGAACAGAACTGCCGCATGGGGTTTCCAATGCTGGAATCTTCACGGGTAGACTGTCATCTCCTTCTCCCCTGGAGCAGCTGGGTTCAAATCCCTGACCTCTCAATTGGCAGCGGAAGGCTCTTTACTCAAGGACTTGGGGCTGACAGCCGCGAAAACTACCACAGTGGAGCTCACCCAGCTCAGGCCCAAGCACAGAGCTGGGAGAATATGCCTGAGGCAGAAGCCTGGGAACCTGGAAGCCACCCAGGCAATTCTGGCTGACAGCGAAGATGGAGAACCGAAGATAGACAAGCCTCTACCACTGTCTTCAGATAGCCTCTCTTTAAAGAAAGAAAGGGCACAGAACCCCACCTGACTACTAAAGCAATGGGATCCGCACACACACCAGCACAGGACTGGCTCACGAGCACACCACACCTGTAACAGGGCCTTCAGCACGAGTCTGCATGCCTCAGCGTGCTCATCTTTGGAGCGCAGCCGGCAGGGTGCACTGCGCTAGGGGCTCTCCACGACCCGGACGTCTGACCGGCCTGTGCGCGGTCCTGCAGAAGGGGTATCACAAACAAAGGCCCGAGAGCAGGAAAGCTGATTATATGTAGTCCAGGAGCCTGGAGAGGGGGCACAGCAGGGGCAAAGGTGATGGGGTCAGGGCAGACGGGTAGAAGTGATATGCCACACCGAAGAGTGGATCTGGATGACAACAGGGTTTCCTCAGCTTGGGTGTGTACGACGGGGCTTCACATGCCCCAGGCCCTCCATCCCTGCCTGAAGGTCTATGCAGAGCAGCTTCGATTCTCAGATTCCTGTGGCCCAGCGCCTGTTGAGAACCACTGCTCCCGAGAGTGGGGGGTTGCTGCAGGGTTTGGAGCAGGGGAGGGTCCACCTTGCCATTATGGTGGAGGGAGGAGAGCAGAGGGACAGGACACAGGGATCTGCATGTGCACCCTGGTCCCTACACAGAGCCCGCACCCACCCCTTCGGCACTTGAACGAACCCAGCAGGGATGGGGTCGGAGGTGGGCCTTCCCTGACTCCCCGCCAGCCGGGCCCACACTCACAGGGCCACAGACCGCGGGCTTCCCGCCTTCAGTTTTCCTTCTTCGCCGACTGCGTTTTCTTTTCGGCCTCCAGTCTGTGTAGTTTTGCTTCCAGTCTCCTCCGCTGGTATATCTTGACTCCGGCAAACGCCAGGCAGAGGATCAGTGACTTTGCTGCCAAAATATACAGCAGCACAGGCACGTGCTCAAGGACCTGACAGAGGAAAACAGGCCATTCAAAACGGTCTCCACGGAGGTGGACTGTCTTCATTTGGCACGTGTCTCTGGAGCACCTAGCGAGGAGGTGCCGGGCTGCCCTGCTGCCTGCCTCTACGGCCAAGACCCTTGCCCATGAAGCTGACTGGCGTCCACTCGGCCCTGCCTGCTCCCCTGCCTGGGGCTGCGCAGAGAGGATCACCAGTCCAGTGCAGGCGTGTCACAGCGCTGATCTTTCCCAAGTGCACCCCGCAAGTAGCTCAGCACCCAGGCCTTGGCTTCTGAGGCAGCAGGGGGGTCTGGTCAAAGTAGCAGGAGGCAGGATAACCCGTGTCCATGGAGCTGGTCTGGGCTCACGGCAACCCCATGCATGTCAGAGCAGAACACGTTCTTCTGGTCCAGTCCATGTGGTAGCCCCTGTGGCCCAAATCCGAAACTGAGCTTTAAACATTCCAGGGATGGCCTATCTCCACCAGATGGCAGAAAACCATCGAAATGGAAACACGTCAACCAAAGACACAGGTCAGTGGCTTCAGGATTGACTGTTTGTAAAGGGGATGAGGAAGAGGCGGCAGACAGAGAGAGGTGGAGCAATGGTAGCAGCGACCAAGGATACCCAAGGGGTAAAGCCAAGCATCTCTGGGTCCCCTGTCCCTGGATACTCAGCTTCAGCAGTATTCCAGCTCCCCTTCCAGTCCGACAACCCCCGAAGGCTTTCCTTACTGTCCGTTCTGATTCACGGAGAGCCACGTGCAGAACTCGGCACCACAAGGCTTACACTAGCTGCTCTGTTAGAAGCAGACCACCAGGCCTTTCTTCCAAGGCACCCCTGGGTGCACTCCAACCGCCACCCTCTCAGTCAGCAGCCGAGTACGTTCCCTGCCCCACCCAAAGCTCCTTGCTGCTCTCAAAAGTGGCGAGAGAAAGCAAAGGTCCCCCGTGGACGGTGCATCCTTGCCATGACGGGGATGCAATTAGCCATGTCAGTCTCGGCTCCACCTGCAGCCCAGGCTATAACTCGCTCTCCAGGGGACTTTGCTGCCCCAGAAGTGTGTGAGTCCATGCCTTGGGGCATGACTACAATCGTGGCTTTCATCATTACGTAATGCTATCATAACTTAACTTAAATATAACAACTCTTATGAAATATGACTGTGTAGAGAAAAGACCGTTTCCATGAAAACTAAGATAAAAGACGCGAGTTGAAAGATGTTGGCAAGACAACTGGAAAAGACTTGGGGAGAAGTGCATAGAAATCTGTAACAATCTTGTGGGTGGATGATTCTGGAAAATCTGACTCCTCTTTCAAGAACCCAAATGGAGACTGAACTGTAGGCGATATTTACAGGCACCATTCTGAGTGAGCAGTGGGGCAGACAGCGGAGCGCTCGCTCTCCAAGGGAAGGCCTGGCCTCTATGCAGTGTCTGCTGAATAAATAAATATACACATGGGTGTTTTAGTTCAAAATGTGAAATGTTACTCTGACTCTGGCTCGGACCTTTAAAAAAAATGTTACTGCTTTTTATTATTCAGTCAATCTTCCTCTGCAGAGCTGTGACGTTGACATTTAACAATCAATTGGGGGGAGAAGCCCGGCCCCCCGGGTCAGTGACTCTCCTTACCTTCCAGTTCATGCTGGCGCGGCTGGGAGTCAGGCTTGCCCCGTGCAGGCCGGCTCCGGCGAGCTCATCAGGAGGGGAGCGGCTGGGAGGCCAGGTCACGCTGCTCTGTAGGCAAGAAAACAAAGAGGTCCAGTGGTACTTTCTAGAGCAGACCACCTGATGAAGCCTTCCTTTGCTGGTCACCGTCCCCAGAGAGGGGGGCTCAGTGTCATGAACAAGGATACTTCAGGATTGGTGGACGCAGGTGGACTGGGCCTGGTCGGAGACCAGTGGGGCTCTCGTTGAGCAGAAAGACCTGGGCAGCATTTCCCCTGGACATACACACTCCCACTCCATTGTCGGTGGACAGAAGAGGGTCCCAAACCAATCCCGGTCTGACAGCACGAGCGTTCTGGCTGCAATCCTCAAGACCACACCAGGGTGTCTGGCCACGCCTTCGGACACCGGCCAGATGTGTGGGCATCCCCAGGGCACCTGCAAGTCTAACTTGCTGACTACAAAGGTGGGCTTCCCACTGCTGCTCAGGTTTGACAATTCATGAGAATGCCTCAGAACTCAGGAGGGCACTGTCCTCACGATGGCAGTTTTGGTACAAAAGATACAACAGAAGAGAATCAAGACATGGCACACAGGGCAAGGGCCTCCAACACGGCGCTTCCCTGTCCCCATCTGGGCACATGAATGGCTTCCACCAACCAGGAGGCTCACCTGAGCTTCAGTGTCCAGAGCTTGTACTTGGGCTTCATTACATACCTGGGACTGACGGACTCATTGCCCAGGTGGATCAACCCAATCCCCGGCTCCCCTCCCAGAGGTGCGGTGGATTTCACATGGTGGGCTTTCGAGGCCCCACAGCGAGTTACCTCATTAGCATACATCACGAGCTGCCGCTTGGAATCCCTGAAAAGCAGATACTCCAAGTCCCGGGAACAGTTGGGGGCTGACCTTCCAAGAACCAAGGGCAACGATCAAATCCTGAGTGTAAAGTCATCCTTCATTCCAGAGACAGGTTCAAAATATGTCCCCCAACCCACTGGCTCTCCAAACGAGTCAATGGCTGACTTCCGTCTTTCTTTCTCTCAGGTCCTCTGACTGTTCTTTAGTGAAGCTGATCTTGGTTTAAAGAAAACCCCAAACGTAAGTGTTTTAAGGGGAAGAGAAACAGCAAATTAAAATGGAATTCATAGAAGCACATGTATGAAGTCTTAACCACAACAGAGACAAAGCAAACCATCACGAAGCCATAGGAGTGTCCAAAGATTCAGGCGTGTGGCATCTAAATAGGGAATGGACACAGAGGAAATTGGCCATGGTTGGTGGCAGAGAAATTCATCACAGCTGCCGACAGGACTACAGAAGCTGGAGAGGGTCCAGGGATGGGGTACATATACACTAATACTGATAGAAAAGCTTCCAAGATTGATTCTCAGCCACCACCCAGCACAAGGTCAGCAGTTTGAAACCACCAGCTGCTCCAAGGGAGAAAGATGAGGTTTTCTCCTCCTGTAAAGAGGTACAGCCTCAGAAACCCACAAGGGCAGTTCTGGCCAGTCCTATAGGGTCGCTATGAATCAGAACACTGCGGTTTAAAACTGGGAGGTGTGTGTCAGGATGGCATCTTCTCACCATACTTATTCAATCTGTATGCGGAGCAAATCATCAGAGAGACTGGATTGTATGAAGAAAAATCAGCATCTGGATTGGAAGGCTTAGTCGCAAGCGGTGGTGTGCAGATGACACAAGCTTGCTGGCTGCAAGTGAGGAGGACTTGAAGCCCGCGCTGATGAAGCTCAAGGACTGCAGCCTGCAGTATGGATCAGAACGCAACGTAAAGGGAAGCAAAATCACCACTGGACAATGATAAATGGAGAAAAGATTGGAGTTGTCGAGGATTTCATCTTGCTTGGATCTAAAGTCAATGCTGATGGAAGCCGCAGTCAAGAGATCAAAGGGCGCAATGAACTGGGTATATCCGCTGCACAAGACCTTTTAAAGTTCTGAAAAGCAAGGTTACTTTGAGGATTAGGGTGCACCTGACCCAAGCCATGGCATTTTCAGCCGCCTCATACGCAGGTAAAGCTGGGCACTGAATAAGGAAGACTGAATTGCAGTCCCGGTGAAGAATATTGACCTACCATGGACTGCTGAAAGAACAAACCAATCGGCACTGGAAGAAGTGCACAGCCAGAGTGCTCCTTAGAGGCCAAGCTAGCATGACCTGGTCTTACACGCTTTGGACATATTGTCAAGAGACCGGTCTCTGGAGAAGGACATCGTGCTTGGCCCTCGATGGGATGGACTGACACAGTGGCTACATCAATGGGCTCAGGCCTGGGAACCATTGTGAGGGCGGACAGGACTGTGCAGTGGTTAGCCCTGTTGTGCCTGAGGTCACTATGAGTCAGAGCCAACGAATGGAATCTAACAAAACAACACAGTCACTGTATTTATATAAAGTGGGCGTACCTCATCTAGTCAAGGTTACAGTTATCTTGAAAACAAGCTGCTAGTTGGTACAAGATAACCAAGTTTCCCCCGACTGCTTCAAAGTCATATAAACCAATGATAGGAATCTCAACAGGAACCCACGTACTGTAAGGTGTTCACTATCTGCATGTATAAATAGTCCCCTTGTTTTTAAGTAGCAGCAGGTTCTGACCTTCATTGGATAGCCTACCTGTGATATAACCTGTTGCTAGAACTTTCACTTGCAGTCAATCCCTAATCAGTTTAGGGATTGGCTAGTGCTATCAATTGAAATAAAACATTTAAGGTCATACCAATTTTATGATTCCTACTTTGACAGGGAAGGCCAAGAATTTTCGATGGGCTACTAGACCTAAAGGTTGGTGGTTCAAACCCTCCCAAGAAAAGGCCTGGTGCATTCTATGATGCTCACCTTCCCGACAAAACTGCTGAAGACAAAGCTGGTGAATAAGCAAATGTGGTGAAGAAAGCTGATGGTGCCCGGCTATCCAAAGA